CTGGAAATGGAAACCTGGCGATGACTTTGTCTTTGTCTCGTGGGTCGGATTCTTTGGCCATGACTGACTGCACCTGTACAATGTACATGTACATGCATGTGTGGGCTTTAGTGTGTTCTTGGGTGTGGAAGTATTGGATTTTCGAGTTTTGTAAGAGGAGAGGCTGTCCACTTGTTTTGAGCTTTCTGCGCATTGTCAACACTATCAACATCATTGCCATTCAATTCAGTGAAGAGAAACCGGCACTTAGCATATTAGTCGCCCCTCTTTAAACCAGTACCCTCTACGTATACCGGTACATGTATAAACCAGCATACTGTTCAGCAACCAAAATGCCCTTTCAAGTGCCATGCACATTGCAGGAGTAAAATTAAAATTAATCAGATTTTCTAATCCAGTACCCTCCCAAATCCGGCAGAATTTCCGTATCACAAAAATGGTGCCGGATTATTAAAGGGACCACTGGCACTGTATTGGGAGAGTGTGGAGGATAATGTTGATACGGAGCAATTAATTTTACAGTGGTTGCCTAAAGTTTGTTTGTTTGTTTCCGGGAATATTCTTGTCAAGAGGGATAGAGTGAGCAGGGCCAGATTACCCGCGCGCAGAGATCTACGAGTACTGAGTCATAGAAGGCTAGATCCTGTCAGCCTTATCACCTGCCCCAGACAGTCCACCCGAAAGCTTCCAGCTGTATTTACTATTTTTGTTTTCATCAATACATGTATTATGTGACATGGTTGTTAGAGTGCTCTGAGTCTGAGTGTGTTTGGGTATGGTTGTCACAATGCATACAGCTACAGGTCCACTACTGCATGCACGTGATAACTGTATTACTTATTTAATATTAGTATATTAGTGTTACTCGGTGCGCCTGCCATGTGAAGATGCCGAGACCTCTGGTCTGTTGAGCATGGCAAGCCCCACCCAGCACCATCTCACCCCATCACAGTGCCTGCCGGTGAGTTGTGTATTTTGAAAAAATAACTCCTGAGCATGCGCGGTGAAGATGTGTCGTTTGCCCCAGAGGGCGTTTAGTCTGCTCCACAGGATATTAGGGGTCTTGAGTGTACAACCGTTGTGTGGACGTTAAATAAACTTCTACTACAAGATTAACCCAAGGCTTGTGTACGCCTCACTCAGTGTGCTCTTCACAAGGTGTCACACGCACTTCTGTAAGTTCTGAGGATGCTTACCACCATGCTACGATCCAGTGCTGGTCTGGTCTCCTTGTGCTGTGTTTCCGGAGCTGGAGAATTACGTTAGAAGAGAATCTAGCCAATTCAAGTCAAGATTGCTGTTGAAGTGTGTGTTAGAACTTAGAACATGTATTAGTATTGATGTGATGATGGTAACCTGTCCGTGTGAGGCTCTTCATTAATTTTAAATTATTTAAGAGCCCCCTCTTATTCTTGGGCTGTCTCCGGTATTGTGCAACAAAATTGATCATGTATCCACCTTCCATGTGTCCTATTTAATTGCCGGGAAATACCAACCGATCAGGCGCGTACGCAGGGGGGGGGGGGGAGGGTTCCCGTTGCCCGGAAACCCCCTAAATGTTCCAAACGAGCAACGGTTTTGGGCATATTTTGGTAGGGCTCACGATCGATCTGGCAAGAATGCAAAACTTCAACAGATCGTAACTCAGTCAAATCTCGCTCAAATCCAACGATCCAAATATCCAGATCGAATAGAAACTCTCAGCTATCGGTTGAACCTATTTACGACGCGCTGCGAGCAATGTCTCTTGAGATAAATCGTTCGTAAGTAAGTTGAGCCGCGATCTTGCAATTTCAAAAGCGCGCAGTGCGACTCTCGAGTATCGAGAATTTGAGACTTTTCGTCACGCTGACTTGCTCAAATTTGCAGGGGCTTCACGTGTAATATTTTCAAGAGCACACAGCAAAAGAATCGAACTCTGCAATCGAGAAAAACGAAATCGCTGGAGCAGGACGCGTTTGGGCCTTCGCGCCGAAGCCCAGTGCAGTTTGGGGCATTTTTTCGCAACCTCGCTGCACTCTACCGCAATCGCACATAGCACTGGATATGTAGATGGCTGTACTGAGTCCTGGCTATCATGGTCGAACTCATTCTCTCCCTGGTAGGTCTACCTTTCCACTTCCAGGAAGCCTAAGATAATGAATAGAACTGAAGTTATGATCCAAAAAGAACACGAAAAGATGCATAATTTTGAAAATTTCGTAGGGCTCTTTAGAAAGGGTTAAAACGATTCAGTGTTTGCGATTCGCTTGGAAACCCCCCTAGAGGTGACCCTGCGTACGCGCCTGCCGATGATCATAATACAATGTAGTTTGGCCAAGGGGACAAGCAGGTAGCCTCTCTCTCTCTCTGTCTCTCTCTCTCTCTCCACAGTAGTCTGTCCCCGGGGGAATTGCGGAAAAAAATCGCAAAAAACGCGGCATAATGTGGCATAATTTGCGGTGAATTTGGGGTGAATATGCGGTGAATAATATTGATGTGCGGCATTTTTCAGTGAGTATGTAGTGAAATCAATCAGTTACAAGTCTCTGGTGTAAGCACTCGTCATATTTGAGTAAAAAGCCGCCACGATGAGACGTTGCTGACCGAACAGTGCACTGTGTGTACGTGTAGTGCAACAAAAAAGTTCAAAAAACGCGGTCTTTTCAAACGCGGCCGCGGAACCGCAATTTTCCCCGGGGACAGAGTAGTGAATGAGGTCGGAATGAGATAATACTACAGTAAAACCTGCGATTAACGACCACCCCTTGGTGCAGAGAGTGCGGTCTTTAGTGGCAGGTGGTCCTTAGTTAGAGGTTTGCACCGCACAACCATTACCAGTACACGTATGAATGTGAGACAGTCTGTGCCTGGCGAAGTGGTGTGCAGTACCATGCTGGCCGCTAGCACGGTGGTCTTTAGTTACAGGTTTTACTCTACCGTAAAGTACCGTTGATCCGCCCCCCCCCCCCCCCCCCCAACGCCATGTCGCTTCCCAGCTGGGTTTTCGGTAGGGGGCGGGAGTTAGATCAAGGCTGTCAAGTGCAGTACGATGTACAACAACGTAGAAGATCAGACTCGATGTGCTGGATTGTGAACATTTTCATGCTGGATTGGCAAATATTGTGTACAGCAGTGCATGCGTCGGTTCAACATCGCATTTTCGTTGTATACGCCGAGGTCGCTTCACAGGTAGAAAATCGACAGGGGGCGGGAATTAGAGAGGGGGCGGATCAACGGTATTTTACGGTATTCGTATCGTGAGCACTGGCAGTACACGGTGGAAGAAGACATGCCTGAACTTGCAGAAGATTGCCGAGTCTAGTGAAAGGCAACATAATTATTATCCATGCAAAAGCAGAACCCTCTCTCCCCCTCCCCTCGTCACCATCACCACCAAACCAACCGCGAATCGGCCGCAGAATTAAAAAAAAAAAAAGAAGAAGGAAAGATCACACCACGCACGGCACAAAGGAATAATCCAGGTTTGTACAGGAAAGAAAACCTAACGCGCGCTCAGAACACAGAGTGCAGAGCAGTTAGTCGTTGATGCTGTGCATGGTTAAAACTCGCGTAGAAAGTGACACGCCAGAGAATAGACGGATACGGAAAGTCGGAGACCAAGATAAAAACGGAAGCAGACAGTACGCACGACACCCTCAAAAAGATTCCACAGAAGTCCAAAGACAGCCGGCCGGGCACAAGTCGGGAAGACAACAACAAAATAAAACCAATAGGGCAACAGCTGGAGTAAGGAGACTGACATCAGCTGCGGTGCAGGGAATCGCAGGGGCATTTCGACCGCAGTTGGACGAGCAAAACCGTTGTCAAGTGCACGGATGGGGATTCTAGGGACACGCACGGCCAAGTAGGCAATGCCAACGTCAACGTTCAAGAACAACAACAACGGCAGGCACAGCAGGCTACACATCACACCATGACAGAGGAAATCCCACCTGCGTGCTCAAAGAAAGACTTTTGCGCAAAACACATAGCACTAAACAGCAAAAACTGTGCGCACCAGCTCAGCTCAGCTCGCATTGGGTGGTGGCAGAAACAGAAACACAACAGGCACTGGCAGAAGCCACTTACTAACCTTTAAGAGTCCAGCTACTACTAACTTACTGTAATACTGGAGTAGCATGCCGTGCCGTGCTGCTGTGTTGAGTGCATGGGACAGCACAGGCTGCTGGCTGGGTGCTGCTGCTACACCATCATACATTCCTTACTGCCGTGTTGTGTGTGCCATACCCACAAAGGCAGCATGCCAGGGGTGCAATGCCTAATTCTGGTCCAATACAGTCATGCACTTGACCAAAAGCCATGCACTTGTCTCGTGGTGTGATGCGATGGTCCCCCGTCCAACACTTCCAGCTAGTGGCATCTGCCAAGACACGATGTCACCGGATCAAAGAATGATATCATCACCATCGCAGATCACACGACAGCACTGATCAAACGCAGCAGGGTCAAACGAGCCGCAGTGTAGTGCTGGCAGTGTAGTGCTGGCTCAGCAGTAGAACACTCAACAAGTGGATGATGATGCCATCACGAGTCATAGCCGTCGATATGATGTAATTGCAAACCCTGACACACATGGACCATAGAACTCGAACGTGCATGTACGCCACGGAAAAGCGGAAGCTCGCGAAGTTTCGAACAACCCGCATGAACAGCGGTGAAAGCACTTGTATCCATCCATCCAGCTGCCGCCAACTCTGATGACGAATCTACGTGATAATGATAGGAAATGGCGTCTGCAAATCAAGCATGCACTGCCAAGTACAGTAGAAGGATGTCAGTCCGTTATACAACTACTAATCCCAGGGAGTGCGGTCAAGTCGTGCGATGATTATCAAGGACCGAGGACAGCCAGTGGGAACATAACAGTTGATCAACAGCTCACATGCATGGATCTGTAATACCGCCGATATCAACATGTGACCGTGTCTGGGAACGTGAGGCAATGCTAAACGCCAGCAGCAATGGAAGAAACAAGCAGGCTCGGATTCAGCATTCTC